CATGCACCCACTTCCCAGCCACCCCCCAAATGGGACTCCCCCCTGCCCCCCTCTCCCCCAGGGCCCCCCCAATCCCCCACTCACCCAGGACCCTCTCCCCGCGCCCCCCCAGCCCCTCCACTCACCCAGGACCCTCTCCCCGCGCCCCCCCAGCTCTGCGTAGGCCCCCTCGAAGGCCTCCCTCCACTGGGGGTCGAGGGGCAGCTCCTGCCCCCCCAGCAGGACCCCCCGGCACCGCTCCAGGACCCGCTCGGGGGCCCCTTTGAGCACCAGCAGCTGCTGCTCCCCCGCCTCGTGCACCGACACCTGCGGGGGGACAGGGGACACACCTGAGACAGGGGACACACCTGAGACAGGGGACACACCTGGCACACATCTGGGACAGGGGACACACCTGAGACAGGGGACACACCTGAGAGAGACACACCTGAGACAGGGGACACACCTGGCACACACCTGGGACAGGGGACACACCTGAGACAGAGGGACACACCTGAGACAGGGGACACACCTGGCACACACCTGAGACAGGGGACACACCTGGCACACACCTGGGACACACCTGGCACGCTCCCCTCACACACACATCACCTCCCATGGCCTCACCTGTCCCACCTGTGCTCACCTGGAACTTGTTGCTGGAGTTGAAGGGCAGCTCGGCCACCTTGGGGTGGCGCCCCCTGGCGGCCTCCACGGGCCCCACCGTCACCTCCGCGAACTTGAGCAGCGCCGTCTCCGAGGCGTCACCGATGACGTCACGCTGGGGAGGCGGGGCCACAGGTGAGGGGGGTCGCGCCCACCCTGCCCCTCCCACCCCCCAAAAAGGGGTCGGCGGTCCCTCCCAGCCCGTCCCAGTGCCCCCAGTGCCCACCTTGGCCACGGGCACGTCGTCCTGGCCCGGCTTGAACTGGGCGCGGTTGCAGAGGGCGATGACCCGGCTCAGCATCGTCCACGTGGCCGAGGACTGGTCGAAGCTCTGACCTGCCACGGCCAGGTGGGCTCACCTGGGGGCTCCAGGTGTGCGGGGAGGGGCCCTCGGGGGGTCCCGGGGGGGGTAAGGTGGGGTGGGGGGGTGGATTCAGGTGTGTCCCCAGGTGTGTCCCCGGGTGCCCACCCGACTGGTCCTCGGTGGTGTCGGCCTCGTGGATCTGGTTGTCGAACCAGAGGTGGGCGACGGTCATGCGGTTCTGGGTGAGGGTCCCGGTCTTGTCGGAGCAGATCACCGAGGTCGACCCCAGGGTCTCCACGGCCTCCAGGTTCTTCACCACGCAGTTCTTGCGCGCCAGGCGCTTGGCCGTCAGCGACAGGCACACCTGGCCGGGCGGGCGGGGCCCTCAGCACCCGCGGGGGCACCCCCGGGGACCACCCGGGCACAGGTGAGCCCCCCCTGAGCTCCCCGCGGGTGGTGGTGGTGGAGACCCCCCAGCCCCTCCTGTCCCCCAGGTGACCCCCCCCCCCGGCTCCCTGAAGCCCCCCAGGCTGCGGTGGCCCCTCCTGCCCCCCCGGGACGTACCGTGACGGTGGCCAGCAGCCCCTCGGGCACGTAGGCCACCACGATGGCCATGAAGAAGACCATGGCGCGCAGGAAGGGGTACCCGATGACCATGGCCACCACGAAGAAGGTGGCCCCGAAGAAGATGGCGAGGCCGGCGATGATGTCCACGAAGTGCTCGATCTCGATGGCGATCGGGGTCTTCTCGTTCTCCACGCCCGAGGCCAGGCTGGCGATGCGGCCGATGATGGTCCGGTCGCCCGTGGAGATCACCAGCCCCGTGGCCGTACCTGGGCACAGGGGAGGGGTGAGGGGGGGACAGGTGTGTGGGGGGAGGGGACAGAGCACAGGTGTGTGGGAATCGGGTGGCCAGGTGGGACGCAGGTGGGGCTCACCCAGGTGGAACCCGGGTGCCCACGCGGGACCCCGATCTCCAGGTGGGACCCAGGTGTGCCCCAGCCCCCCCAGGTGACCCCCAGGTGTGCCCCAGCCCCCCAGGTGTGCCCGGCCCCACCTTCCAGGCACATGGTGGAGAAGAAGGCGATGTTCCTCGTCTCCAGGGGCGACTCGTGGGTGCACTCGGGCGAGCGCGTCTGCGGCTCCGACTCCCCCGTCAGGGACGAGTTGTCCACCTTGGGGCGGGGTGGGGGGTGACAGGCAGTCACCCCCCTGCCCGTGAGCCCCGGCCCCCCCCCCAGGTGAGCCCCCAGGTGTCCCCCCCGGCCCACCTTGCAGCCCTGGGCCGACAGGACGCGGATGTCGGCGGGGACGCGGTCGCCCCCCTTGATCTCCACCAGGTCCCCGACCACCAGCTCGTTGGCGTTGATCTGCTGCTTGGCCCCGTCCCGCACCACCGTGGCTTGCTGGGGCGCGGGGGAGGGCACAGGTGAGGGCGCAGGTGAGGCCCCCAGGTGGGCTGGGGGGCGGGGAGGGGGTCCCCACCTGCGGGACGAGGTTCTTGAAGCTGGCGATGATGTTGGTGCTCTTGAACTCCTGGTAGTACCCGAAGCAGCCGGTGACGACCACGACGGCGATGAGGGCGATGGCCAGGTACAGCTGGGGGGGCGTGGGGAGGGGCAGGTGAGGGGCTGGTGCCCAGGTACCCCCATCCAAAGGGGTCCAGGGGGGGTCCTGGGCACCCCAGGGGGTCCTGGGCACCCAGAGCCCCCACAGGCTCCCCCAGCCCCGGCTTCCAGGTGTGCCCCCTGAGGTGGGCCCAGGTGTGTCCCCAGGTGTGTCCCCAGGTGTGCTCCATCTCCAGGTGTTCTCCCCCCAGCTGTCCCCAGGTGCTCTCCAGCCAGCTGTGCCTCCTCAGGTGTCCCAGATGGTCTCCAGGTGTGTTCCCCCCAGGTGTTCTTCCCCGAGCTGTCCCAGGTGTGCCCCCCAAGGTGCCCCCCAGGTGTGCCCCCCAGGTGTGCCCCCCAGTTGCCCCAGCTGCCCCAGGTGTGCCCCCCCAGGTGTGCCCCCCAAGTGTGCCCCCCAAGGTGCCCCCCCAGGTGTGCCCCCCCAGGTGTGCCCCCCCAGCTGTGCCCCCCCAGGTGTGCCCCCCCAGGTGTGCCGTACGTTGTCGGAGCTGCCGCGGTCGCCCTCCCCCTCCTGGACGCCGTAGGCGATGAGGCAGATGGAGGCAGCGACCCACATGAGGCACTGCAGCCCCCCCGCCAGCTGCCGCCCGAACTTCACGCACTCGGGGGTCCCGCGGGGGGGGCGCAGCTCGTTGGGGCCGTCCCGGAGCAGCCGCTCGGCCGCAGCCGCCTCCGACAGGCCCTGCAGGGG